AGTCTCTGCCCAAATCATGAGATTGTCCCCAAAAAATCACAATATTCAAGGGGAAAGATTTAATATAATATTTGGGCTGTCTTCTGATATTTGAACTCCTCCTAACTCATGGCCTCTGGGCTTGTAAATTTAACACATTTTCCATTAGGTTACAGGGCATTGTGGGGTGAAGAGATTTACTCACATATTTTGCTACCCCAAACTCATGTGAGAACTGGAGCTTTTTACATCATTGTGAGACTGCCAGCAGCAGGCCAAAATTGCATTATTTCCAACAAAATCATCAGAGGTAACAATACTGTAAATACCCCTGGATGTAGTACTTACTGTTATCAATGAAATTACTCATGATAGTAAACTGTATAATTTATGTTCGCAGGATCAGATCATCGTAGTATATTTTGTTGCATTAAAATGTATTGTTTCAAAACAATTCTCTTTGACAAAAAATATTAAAGGATTGAAAATGTGTATGAACAATAATATTTGCATTTGTGCAAGTTAAAAGACACAAAGGAAAATGAACCTTGTATATTAGGGAATAAGAATGCTGACTGCTAAGGTCTGGAAATAAAATTTTTCACAGCACTGCACAAATGGCCAGCTGCACAACAGCCACTTTCCCCCTTCCTCAGAATCATCAGGACTTAGTTATTGCTAGAAGCAGGATACTAGACCAGGTGGACCAATGGTCTGACTCAATAAGCCAACTCATATGTTATTGGTTGCATGGTAGTATTAACTGCTTACAGATTTAATATCCAACCCTTGCTAATGCATCCTCATTCATAATGAATCTGAAAATTAATGGATTTGGGTTTATGGTGAAATTACATTAGGAGGCTAGTGTGTTAACTGCTAACACATCTGGATGTGCTAGCACTGAATGGATTTAATCACAGTATAAATGCTATATGTGGAAGACAATTCATTAAGCTTTGTAAAACAATCCAATTAATTATTATAAAATAATTAAACAAACATCCAAAACTACATTTTCTTTTACTTTAGTATTGTAATTTTATAATGGGGGCATCTTGCAAATATGTCAATCTGAAAACTCAAAGGCTTTTAACCTTTCACATTTTCTATAATGACTTATAATAGTTGCTAAATATTAAACATGTCTCTAAACAAGGGTTTTTCTCCTCACAGCTTATCCTCCTTTTGTAGTTGCTCTTACAGTGAAGTCATATTAAATATCAGTTTAGATATCACAATATTTCCATAGCAATAGACTGATGTAATAACTGCAGGATGGATAAACAATGCTTTGAAAGGAAAACTTATTAAATCACAAATCTATATAATCTATATATTCTACAAAACAAATACCACCCCAACAACCTAGTATTAATGCAACATTAAAGGTGAGAAATCAAGCACTCCAGAACAGAGCTAAACACAAAAAGATCAAAATCAATGGTTATCCTTAATTCCACATGAAACCTACAGACATTACATACTTGACTTCAAAGAGTAAGAACTGCTCATGGAAGTTGTCAGCTCTATGATCTGGTGCATGTACTACTAGTGGTATGCAGGTTACACAGGTTATTTTAAAGTACAGTATAATAAAAATCCATATCCTCACTGATTAAAATAACAAAGGTGGTTCACCACACACATCAGTTTTAGATGGGCCACAGGAGGTCTTAGGCATGTTTGACACTTTAAAGTTTTACTGCTGTAACTATTTCAGTAAGGGATGTGACTTTTAACTGAAATAATTATACCAGTAAAAGCCTAGACCAATTCTCTGGTGTAGATGCAGTTATACCAGTCTAAAGGTGACTGTTACTGGTATTATTTCCCTTCCCATATAGGAATAACTATACCATAGCAGGTTTCAGAGTAGCAGCCGTGTTAGTCTGTATCCGCAAAAAGTACTCCTGTTCTTCTTTATACCATAGCAGTATGCAGTTATCTAATGTAGATATGCTCAGTCTCAGAACCACTGGCCTGGAACTATTTGGCCTCCTATGTTTCTGCCCTTGATGGAGGCCTTCTTAGTTCCCTGGAAAAATACCCCTTAATTATTTAGTTCGCAAACTGTGCATTAAAAAAAAAAATCATAGCTTAGAATTTCACCTCCTTTAACACCCAGTGAAATGCCACTTAACTACTTTGCAATAGTTAATGTTCCCCTATTAAACACTATTTGTTATAGCAGCTCTGGTTGTGACTCCATAAAGTTGAGTCAAAAGTTTACAGTTTAGCAGGAGCTTTAACTTTTATTTTGTAAAAATCTCATTAGAATAGCAAATTTAGAGGGGGGGGAAGCTTTTAGTACTATGTGAATTTTTCATGGTGGTTTGATGAAAATTGGGTCGATATGAAGAAAATACTACAAGTTCCAAAATGACCCCTTTATTTAAGTTTTTCATTGAGTTCTCTTATTTTTGGATACCCTTCACAGGAACACTATGCTTTACTCCACGTGCACTGATTAATACGCTGTCAGTTATAACTGGCTAGTGTTTGTGTGAGGATTTTTCCTTTTCTGTTATGCAGAAAAGGTTAAACATAGTTAACAGCAATACTGGAGCATGGCTGGCTAAAGAGTACATCCAATACCACTGTATCTTGGGGAGGGGGAGGGGAAGAGAAGAGTCCCTAAAGCTACAAAAGAAGAACCCATAAGTTAAAATACCACCTAGGAAACCTACAGACATTTAAGCAAGTCTGACATTACAAGTCGTTGAGGGGAAATGGAGCAACTTTGAACCAAGCCCTCAAAAATGATGGGTACAAGAAAAATAAATACAGAACTGCATGAAGTTTAAACTGGTTTTGGATTATTCTAAAGTCTTTAAAAAGTTGAACATTTGTGTGAGCATCACCACAGCCTATTACACACAGTAGCTCACAGACATTAGAGCTGGAGAAGGCCTATTAAATTATATATAATCTATTCCCTGGAGCCAGCAAAGGATTGTTCCTACATAATATTTTCTAGAACTTTCTTCAGTCTACTTTTAAAGAGAAATTTAAAAATATTTTCATTTTAGTCATTGGATTGGTGTCATTTTCTACAACATTTCAGCTTTCTGATTTCACATTTGCATAGTGTCCTGTAAATAATTGGCAATAATACATTTTTATAGCAATAGGATTAGAACAGTGTCACCAGCTTGTTTCTTATTTTCTCCAGCTTTATCCACAGAGATCATTTTGGTTTACAGATGTTACACTATAGATATACCCTAAGTCTACTTCTTTACCAGTTCTGCAGTTTTCCCCCAGGCCACTTCTGACCCAGCCTCTGGGTCTCTGTATCTCTTCCCTACTTAGTGAGGCTGTCTCACAGCGCTCCCTACCAGAAAAGTTTTCCTTTCTACCTAGTGGTCAATCCAGCAAGGATTTATCACTACCTATGCCTAGTTTCCCCTTCTTGACTAAACCCACCTTCTGCTCTTTATGGGGAAGTGCCTGATTCCCCTCAGGTGGGAGTCATGCTGTAATCAGGTGGGTTTAGCCCATGGCTCTCCAGCCCAGGAGGCCAGTCATCCTGTTACTATCTCCCTCTGCTAGCAGATGCTGACATTATTAGATCTTTCATGTCTTTTGGGGGAGAGGAATAGCTCAGGGGTTTGCATCTTGGTCTGCTTAAACCCAGCATTGTGAGTTCAATCCTTGAGGGGGCCATTTAGGGGTAAATATCTGTCTGGGGATTGGTCCTCCTTTAAACAGCAGGATGACCTTCTAACCCTGATATTCTTTGATACTAATAATCATTAAGTGTTGTTTACTTTCTGATGATGGTAGTAGGAGTGGAAAGGAAATGGCTATTGCTGAGTGTCTCTTGAGTGTTTCCAGACAAGTATTTTGGACAATTGCTTCTAATCCCTACTAGTGCTGTTGTGGAGTCCCACAGGGTTGCATTTTGTCACCTCTCCTGTTCAGTGTGTACACTGTGCTCTTGGGAGGGCTAGTCAGCAGACATAGGCTGCCTTGCTTTCAGTAGGCTAATGACATCCAGCTCTGTATTTCTGTCTCAACCAATCCAGCCAGGATGTAGGGTGGGATAAGAGTGAACTGGTTGAAGCTCAATCTGGATAAAATTGAGGTGTTGTTGGTAGACTGGAGAATAGTGTGGGGGATGACATCTGCTCCTCTCCCTGAGGGTGTGTACCTGACATTTATCACCAGATATCTCAGTGTGAAAGTACTCTTGGGTTCAAAGCTGTTGTTGGAAGATCACAACGTCACAGTGGCCAAAACAAACTTTTTTCTGTCTCCCTCTGGTCTGAAGATTGCGACTATTCCTTTTAAATGTGGCTCTTCATCCAAGGCTTTGTAACTGCCAGACTAGATCACTGTACTGTGTTCTGCCTAGGGCTGCACCTTAAATCCAGCTGGAAGCTGAAATTGGCGCAGGATCTTAAAAGTTGCATATCCTAGGGAGAACGCATGGCACCGCTCTGCCAGGATCTGCACTGCCTTTGGGTCTCTGGATGGACTTTAAGGAGCTGATTTTCTCTCTCTCTCTCTCTCTCTCCTGAGAAGCCAAATCCCTCCCAAAGCTTTGCTGTTAGAGCTATAATCAGCAGGAACACTCCAGCTGGAGATGGGACAGACCGCAAAGGGGCCCTGGCTGAAGTTTTCTGGACCCCTGATCAGAAATGGCTCAAATAGAAGTGGGAGGGGAGGGAGAGAAGAGAAAAAGGGACGGGTCCATAGGGCACATGCAGTAGCAAGGTCTGCAGTAGGGTTTGGAGAGGCTGGGACAGAAGTTAGGACTTGCATATCTATATGGGCCATGGTTGGGAGGCGCGGGGCGGGGGGTCAGTGAGGATGGCACTTTGGACGGGAAAGTAGGAGGCGCTGTGGGTTGAAATTCAATGCGGGACAGGGAGGCGGCGCTAGGCGGCGCTGTGGGCTGTCGCGGTAGAACTGGGGGGCACCGCAAGCTGTAGCGGTGGAGCAGGGCTGGGAGGCGGCGCTAGGGGGCGCTGTGGGCTGTGGCGGTGGCTCCGGGCACGGATCGGCTGCTCTCTGTCCTTCACGCGCCAGTTCCAGGCGGAAGGCTGCGGCTGCGCGCGTTCCAGGGTTGTTTCCGTTGGTGACGTCCGGCGCGTCCGCCAAAGCAGAGGCGCAGCGAGGAGCTATGTCGGCGCCAGCCGGGATCCCCCCGCGCTCTGCCGCAGTCCCTGGAGGGGCCAGAGCGCCCGCCGCCGCGGCCAGGCCGCCGCCCTGTCAGAACGGTGAGGAGCCGAGGTTGGGGGTCCGCACGGGCCTAGCGCTCGGGCGGGGCTGGACTGGCCGGGGGGCAACAGAGCTGGGGCTAGCCGGGCGGGGCAATAGCGGTGGTGGTAGAGCGGCGAGGGCCGGGACAGAGGAAGGTGAGGACGGGGGAGCAGGAGGCTGGGACGGGCGGGCTGGGACAGAGGAGGGCGGGGGGACTGGGACGGGCGGGTTGGGACAGAGGAGGGCGGGGGGCGACGTGGGACGGGCGGGCTGGGACAGAGGAGGGCGGGGGGACGTGGGACGGGCGGGCTGCGACAGAGGGAGGCGGGGAGGACTGGGACGGGCGGGCTGCGACAGAGGGGGGTGGGGGGCGGTTGGGGCAGGGGGCCTGGGACAGTTGAGGGCGGCGGGAGGCTGGTAGGGGGGACAGGATGGGTGTGGGGGGACTGGAATGGAGGAGGGTGGGGGAGCTGCGACGCTGGGCTGCTGGGCTTGGGCCAGAGGAGGGCATGGGCGGAGGGGGGACTGGGGGCGAGGGGGCTGGGACGGTGGGGCATTTGAGGGCTAGGGGGCTGAGACAGATGGGGGCATCAGGAGGTGGGGGGCTGACTCTGCCATGTGGCGTTTCCATGGTTTTTGTCTCGGTTAGCATTGCTGTGTGTGTCCGCTCACGGATTTAGCACATGTACTGTGCGGTCCAGTCATGCTCCCATCTAGCTGAGTGACAGGCTGGTTTAAGGTCACAACAGGCTTTTGGGATGCAGAGTGAAGCAGTGCCTTCACTTCACAGGAGATTCTTGTAATCCTGTGTGTGGTTAACCTCGATCAGTGGTGATACTCAGACTGAGGCTTGGGAGCCACAAATGGCTCTTTAATGTGTTTCCTGTGGCTCTTTGCAGCACATGATATTAAAATTATTATTTAATTATTAACCAAACAGGATGCTTTTACTATGGGCTTGACTAACCTCTAAATCAGCACTGTTGCTATTGATGCAGTGGTGTCAATGACAAGTTGTCGATGGCATAGCGCTCTCCCATCGACTTCTGTACTCCAGCTCCCTGAGAAGTGTAAGGTAAGTCAGCAGGAGAGCATCTCCTTTCGACATAGCAGGGTGTAGACACCGCTATAAGCTGACCTAAGGCCTGGTCTACACTGGGGAGGGTCGATCTAAGATACGTCGGCTTCAGCTACGCTATTCGCCTAGCTGAAGTTGCGTATCTTAGATTGACTCGCGGCGCGGGATCGACGACCGCTGCTCTCCTGTCGACTCCACTTCCGCCTCTCGCCCTGGTGGAGTTCTGGAGTCGACGGGGAGTGCGTTCGGGGATCGATGTATCGCGTCTAAACAAGATGATCAGTCATTTTGCTTTGAGAATAATCTATGGGTATAAAAACTAAATATGAATATATAGTACTATAGCAAATAAAACAATGAATTTACACTACTGTGGATCTTTTTTGGGTAACGTTGATCGCTAATTTGGCTCCTAAACCACTGTGGTCTGAGTATCACTGGCCTAGATGTTGGCTTCCCTCTTCACAAACACACAATTTGCAGGTGGAGGTGACCTATTTGGCAGTATGGAGAGCCCTGCAGGAGAGACTTTTCGCTTCGTAGACAAGCATGCACAGCTATCTAGACATAGTTTGTGTTTTTTACTGTGTCTGGTGGTTGGGAAGTGGGTGTGAAGTGTTGGAAATTAAGTAGCAGTATAACTGAGATTTAAAAAACCAACCTTTGATAAGTTTTTTGACTATCACTGCAATTCTGGCTCTGAAACAGAGGAATAACTTCTCAGAATATTAAATAGTGCCAGTTAGGCTTATTCAAAATAGTAAGTGAGGTAGTACAATATTTTTCCTCTAATTTAATTCAATTTTGGAACCTTTCTAGGTGGAAAACTGCATCTTGGGAACACTTTGGAGGCTGTAACACACTCAGGTGTTGGTTCTGCAAACACTTGTACAAAATAAACCATGTGTCTAACTGAGTAGTTTCAATGGGAATATTTGCATTCCCAGTGGATCTATTCATATACACCAACTAAGCATGTGCATAAATCTTCAGGGTTAAGACTTTAGGGATTTGGGGGAAATAAACAAGGGTCTGGTGCATGATTATTCTTAACAGGTTGTGAATTACTAAAACATGATGCTTTTTATTTCTTATGGTGTTTTATTATAACAAAATGAGAAGACGTGCACTTCAAGTTACATACCCTAAAATTGAGCAAACTGTGTATTTTAGCATAAAAATATACTAAGAGTATAAGTCTTTACATATATTTTAATCTACAATGATACTGTCACTGATTTTATAGCTCACAATTTTAAAATTTATCGTAAAATATGTATAATTGATTTAATGAGGTCTTTACAGCTTCTGATCCTAATCAGTTTCATTTCTCTCTGTTATTTGTATTAAGCATATTTGCTAGCATTGCACTTTAACATTTTCTCCTAGGCTCTGATTTTACAGTCAGGTTGGCATGGGCGCAGAGGTTAGTCTTTGTAGATCTGTTAGCAGGATTGAGGTCTTTAATTTTAATGCTCTTTGGTTATACGAACAAAGTTTTAGCTGTCATGTTTAGGCAACAGATTGTGAATCAAGTTCATGCAAATATTGCTGAAGGTTTGTAGAAACCTAGGATGATTAAATAGAAACTTTTAGAAAAAGGCTTTTCACTTAAATTTTGTAATAACTTTGACCAATATACATTTTTCCATGTTTATAAAATTGTAATGTATACAGTTGTGTTCAAATAAACAGCCATTTCTATGCAGTGTTGAAATCCAAATATTGTAACACTAAACACAGGAAACTATAACTGGCTTCATATATTTTTACTATATCTAAGACCATGGAAGAAATGTCAAAAATAAGAGTAAAAATAATAATGACCATTTGGATTTTTAAAATTCTTTCACTGTAATCGTTTATGGGCTTATCAGCAACATGGGTAAATAATTTTGTTTACAACCTTTTTAGTTTGACCATTTAATATACCTGTGATTCAGACAATAATTTTTAATTCTTAAAAGTTTTTTAAAAATAAACTCAGTAGCTGACTCTTGCATTTTTCACCTTGTTAGCTCCATAATTATTGAGTATCTATTTGTTTCTTGGTTTGCATATTCTTTACCTTGGGATATATTTGCAGTCATGTAGAGTTGGTGATTCATAGGTAAAGTGTTAATTTAATTTGTCACTTTACATAACCACACAATAACGTTTCAACATTTTGAAAAAGATAGCTTTGTTTTTGATCTACCAGTCCTGGGAACTTACATGCAGCATTTGGGGCATTGTTTATATAAAGGAAGGGGAGAAAGAAGGGAAACCGAAAATCGAAAAACAAGACTGCCAGACTCTATTTTTTTAGTTTTAATGCCATGTTCCACTTTGCCCAGAATGGCACCATCTGCTTCCTTGAATTTGGTCTATGTTTCTAAAATCAGTGTTACTTATATGTTGGGAGAAGTAAGTAATGCTTATGTAAATATAGTTACTGATGTGTTTGCACATGCTAGAGATAACTGTGTGTTGCTGCGAGAATACTGCATACATTAGACTTCATAAATTCTGCCCGATCTTCTCCCAACTCTTGGAATTTATTGGAGCCTCACAAAGAGCTCAATCAAAAGACTTCCATCAGAAGGATTTAGTGTTTGGCAGAGGTGATAAATTGGGGCTAGCAAGTATTCAAATTGATGTTAGTTCTCATGGCCTTGATACTATTTGTCTGATCCAGGGGACAAGTTCATGTGAAGGATCCTTAGTGATTTTCATACTGGTACACACTTTAAAAAAAGAATGTTTTGTAATATTGGCTTTCCTTTTGTTTGTCCTAATACTTTGCTTCCTAACTATTCAATTTTCCCTGTTTTATTCTGTGCTGAAGCCCTTCTTTTAAAATAATACCTATTTTGCTTAGCCCATCAATCTTGAAGTCCAAATGTAAGAACTTCTCACTGAATATTTGAAAATAAAATTATTAATTATAACTGAGCGTGTTGCTGGTGGCTGCTAAACACTAGCTGAAAAGTGACACCTAGATGTAGGTAGTACTGTAATATGAATTCAGACTATTCATGATTTTTTTCCAACAGTCTTAAGGAACTGCAGTGTTAAAAATTAAACTTGTTGAAATATTAAATACTAAAGAGATAATCTATTACAAAAATCACACATTTCTGTAGGAAGACTTTTTTATAATATTGTTCCAAGTGACATCTAAGATTACAACTAAAATAGATGCTTGTTTTTTTTCAGTTTGGTTTGTGCATTTGATAGCACTTTGGGGTAGTCAGTTTCACTCGGGCCTGGTCTACATATGGCTTTTGCACTGGTATAATTGTTGGGTAGGTTGGTTGGTTGTTGGTTTTGTTGTTGTTTTTTTTAAATGCCGGTATAATACAACCCCTAATGTGGATGAAGTTGTACTGGTGTAAAGGTGCCTTAGACCATTATAGCTTCTTCCCCGTCCCATAGGGGAATAAGCTATACTGGTATAACTGTGTCTACACTAAGGGGGTTTTACCACTTTAACAATATTGGTGTAGTTAAGGTGGTATAATTTTTACTTTTAGACAAAGCCTGTTTCTTCTTCTGTCAAATTTTCCCTGTTTACACGAGTCTCTTTGTGCAGCAACAGAAGAAATAAAATGGAGAGAAAGTTGCTAGGGGTTTTGAGGGGAAGTTGTAGTACCTGAATCTCCAACTCATATTTTGTAGTTATCTAGATTTCAAGTTAAAGGTGACAGGTTTCAGAGGCGTAGCCATATTAGACTGTATCAGCAAAAACAACGAGGAGTCCTTTTGGCACCTGAGAGACTAACACATTTATTTGGGCATAAGCTTTCATGAAGTGGGTTATAGCCCACGAAATCTTATGGCCATTACATTTGTTAGTCTCTAAGGTGCCACAAGGACTCGTTGTTGTTTTTTCAAGTTAAAGGTGTATGATGTCCCGGGTTAACGATTATGTTGCTTTTCAGCTAGGTATCCATCACC